TCAGGGCCTGGAGGGCCCTGTGTTAGGCTGAAACGACATAGGGCCTGTAGGCCCTCGTTTTCAGGCTTTCAGGCTGAAAACGACACAGGACCTGTAGGCCCTTGTTTTCAGGCTTTTAGGCTGAAAACGACACAGGGAGGCCCTTGTTTTTCAGGCTTTTAGGCTGAAAACGCTGGTCGGGCCCTGCAGGCCCGTGTGGCTGCGCAGTATGCCACAGGTGGGCTGGTGGCAGTGGGATAGGAACCGAGCCATGCCATATACATTTATGGCATCCTTACCTGGTCAGCACAACTTTCCCTTGATGCGTAAGAAATATTCTTTTTTGGATGCCAGGACTCAGGCGATATGCAATTCTTCGGGGGGCGAATCTTGCGGTGCACTAGGGCATCTGTGATACATCAATGGTGTCCGATGAGTGCTCATGATCTCTTCAACCTCAACATCCTAATTTCCTATCTCTACACCTATTCGTGAAGTCGTCTAGGAACTCGTCTAAGGTAATAAGGCTCTCTCTACACCTATCGATCTTGGTTTCCCCAGCCCCTTTTCTTCTACTACTGGACTCGTTACCCATGCCTTGGCATCTACCTTTAGACAGGTGCAGGCTATGACAACCTAAGAATCTGCAGGTACGTGGTCCACTTTCGTATATGCGTAAATTTCAGCTAACCATGGCAGGATGTCTTCATCCTTTTTCCCATGGTAATATGATGGTACGCATCAGGTACCGTCATCTTGACCCCTTCCCTGGAGGGCCTGCTCCTCATGCATCCTGCAATGGATTGCAGTGCTACAAGCGGGCTGTACACTAATTTTGTCCCTATCGTTGTTGCCGGGACATGATCCCGCAATCTTTGTCTGCTGTGTGGCCTGTTTGTTTGCTGTTTGCATGTTTTGAGCCTTGCGGGACTTGATCCCGTGAGCTGTAACCTGCATGTTTTGTTTGTGAGTGTTGTGCCCTATGGGACTTTATCCCTGCGTCTGTCACTAGTAGTCTCTGTTTGGTAGTCCTAGGCCATTCGGCCCTATTCTTTGACCTTGTCATAGGTTTAGGCCCCCTTTTCCCCTGTTTCCATCTAGATACAGATAGGTTTTGGGTTGTTGCTTAGGGGAGGCCGTCGTAGGTCTAGCGGAGTGTAGAAGTAGCGGGCAGGAAAAATAGTTCGGGTCTTTTCCTCGTTGTTTTGCTGGGGAAGCTCTGCCCGTTCGTGGCCGAAGTGTTGCTGCGTTATTTTGGACGAGGACATCTTCTTCCTCGAAGCCAGCCATAGCTGGGGCTGGGGCACGAAGTTGGAGATTGCACTGCTGCTACTTAGCAGCTCTGCACAGGAGCTTCCACAGGACTGTGTTGTTGGGTTTGGGCGCTGCCTTTCTTCACTTGGCAGCCATATCTGCTGTTCCTCCTCAAGAGGAACTTCGTTTTTTTTTTGTCCTCTTCAAAGTACTGGATTGGTTGTCTCCTTCTTCATCAGGACTTCCAGCGCTGCACTGCCGTGCAGAAGCTGAGCTGGCGCTGCTATTATTGGGGTTGCTGGTTCAGACTGGCAGGTTGTGACAGCTGTGGGGTTACTGCTGCTACGGCAGCCATAGCCAGCGGTATGTGGTGGCAAGGAGGAAGAAGAAGGCATCCGTAGACTTCGTTGAACACTTGCTTTTGGTTGTTCGGGGTTGTTGTAAACGCAGTTGTGATTCTTGGAACAAGTACTTTGAATTGATTGGAGGAGGGGGATTACAGAATTGAAATTCGTTTTTCAATTCTCTGTGTATTTCGAGCTTCCGCTGTGCATATCTTCTCTCCGGTTTTGTGTGGATTTGCCTCCTTCGAGTCTACTCTGCAATTGCATGCGTGTATGGGAACGTGTGAATTCGTTGTGGATTGAAGTTCAATCGGGTACATAACACATCCTGTGTCCCTCTTACCCCCATCACCATTGCGATCCCCATGGCCATCTCCGTCCCCATCTCCTCCTCAACCTCTCGTCACTTTCATCTTCTCCCAGACCGTGCTTACAATACCCTCCTTCAAAGTTGCTCAAACACAGAGGGGAAGGAGCCTAAATCAACAGACCTGGACCGCGAAACCAAGGATGTCGCATACCTGAGAGTTAAGGACACTTCTCCGTGTCTCGTACGCTCGATGGATAGGACTAAGCAGGGCGCTAGCCAGACTTCTGAGGCCTCTGTTTTGACATGCACCAATATTCATAACCTAAGGAGCGCTAGCTATGAAGAATTTTGGGCGCAATTTCTTTGACTAAGATATTCACAATTTTTGGATTCGTTTTTAAGATTGAGAACATTCTAAATTGACTATGAAAAACTTTTAGGCTTTTTCGAAGATTCTTAGAAAGAAAAACTTTTCAAATCTATTGCGCCCCACTCTGCTCTGCTGGCGAGCTGCGCTCGCAAGAGGGTTTTCTTTTCTTTTACTTCGGCATCTCACGGCAAGCGCACCACGGAATAACGTGGATTGATGGCGGAAATAGCTTGATGGTAGAGTTTAGCCTTGCCAAGGCTGAAGTTGAGGGTTCAAAACTGTTACATGCCCAGTTGGGCGATGTTCATAATAACCGAGGATCCGCAATGTGATAAAAAGGACCGAATGGACAATGCAGTGCAAGTGGAATCTCAACAAGCAATGTGCATTCCGATACATACAAAATGGTGCTTCTAGCGCAGGGAAGACTTTAGATGCAAGTCCTGACCTGACCGGGACTGACCTCTACCACGTAGTGCAAGACAGCGCAGCAGAATGCTAGAATACCAATGACTAGCCCAATCAATGTTGCATCGCAGACCAAACATACATCATGCTCATCACAAGGTGTGAAGGGGCCTGGCGCTATACACAGGAAGGAGGCGCCAGGTCCAGACATACACAGACGAAAAGGAGGGGATCAGACGAAGAAGAGGAAGGGGGAGATGGGAAAGTCGTCAACACCAAGTCTCGTTACAAGTCCCAAATAATCCCTCTTCAAAATGTCTGAAGTCCAACGTCGAGTCTGGATCCAAATGTCACCAAGCTCTCTCTCTCTCCCTTGTAGTCTGCTGATGCAGTGAAGTCAGATAGCGAGAGGGTGAGAAGGAGATGGTGGACTGAGAAGAGGAAGAAGAAGAACTCTCTCTCGCATGTGCCAGGTACTAACCTATGAAGATGGCGCTGTGCTACAGGTACCTCGAAGACGAAGCTGGAGCAATGGCGCTGCAGGTAAGTCCCTCTGGCCTCCGCCCAATCTCTCTCTCTATAGTACTACTCTAACTGCTATGGCGCCCAGCGCTGAAGACTACAGCTAATGCTACTAGCGCCCAGCGCTGAAGACTACAGCTAACGCTACTACTAGTCCTGCAGCGCTCCTCCAGAGTGCTGCTGGCGAATCCTGAAGACTACCTCCTGCCTCCTGAACTGCACGTGAAGTGCCTGGGAAGTACCTAGGAATTACCTCCTGCCTGCAGGGCGGGCCAGTCCTATATAGTGCTGGCCCGTCCAGGAGGCTGCTCTTGCCAATGCCGAAACGTTCCAGACCCTGGCGTTGAAGCTCAACCAGGGGTTGTCTTGCAAACAGGCCCGAAATGGCCTGTGCTAAAACCCTGGTTTGTTGCCTGAGTTTCAGGGCAGGTCGAATTGATGAGGGCCCGGAAATGGCCCTCAGTTTCAGGCTGAAAACACTCCGGGCCGGAAAGGCCCTGATTTAGCTTGAAACGACACAGGGCCTGTAGGCCCTTGTTTTCAGGCTTTCAGGCTGAAATGACACAGGGCCTGTAGGCCCTTGTTTTCAGGCTTTTGGCCTGAAAACGTCACGGGCCTGGAAATGGCCCGTGCACGGCGTGCAGCCTGTTGCAGGCGCAGCATGTAACAAAACTCCAGATCCCCTTTTCCGCTCATCAGCTTCATTATTATGATATTATTATATTAACCCATATAGAGATTAATTGGACACTAAAGAAAAGGCTCGCGTCGAGTGAAGAGTAATATAGTTCAGGGGCCACGAGGTGCACAAGGGCGACAAAGGCCACAAAGTGGGGTGCACTGAAAGCAATTCATGTGCTGTACATGACACAAGGGCGACGAAGGCCACTAAGTGCTTGATTTGATGATGACGAGTAAGATACGAGAAAAGCACGTTATCAAGAATGACTCGTGCTACGAACTGGTAGCGTTAACGTAGCCAGTCAAAGGCTACTAACACACAAGATACAAAAACTACCCATGCTAAGGATAAAGGCAAGGAGACTTTCCAGCCAAATGCCTTAAAAGTTTTTGTCGCCACAAGCAAAACACGGAGGGGCCGTGCTGTGTGGGGCACCGTTGGAAAAAAAAATCGGTGGCCTCCGAAGTGGTCCGGGTTTCGTGCTGACACCCGCGGGCCAATGCATGGTGTACTGGTGCTTTAAACCACCACTCCCCCTGCCGCTAGAAAATTCGGGGGATCGGTAGCACAGGTTCATGAGGGCTACCGGTAGCATAGTGTGGAGAACCCACAAGAGTGGCAAAAATGGAAAATGCATTGAATTGCCACTGGGATTTATTTCGCAGTCGACACATTTTTTTAAATACATTTTTTTAATATGTTCCCTGGAAAGATCAGAACCACATCGATGGGCCCTCCAATTTTCAGATTTTTTGATGCATTTTTCTGGGCGCGGATTTTTCTGAGCGCCAAAAATCACTGAAGTTGGAGTTATGTTCAATTGCTAATTCACTGCTCTACACCGTGTTATGTTCAGTCGGTAATTCATTGCATTGGCTGCGCCACTAACTAAGATTGGATTGACACTGGTAAACAATCTCATTGTTGTCGGTTCCAATCCTACATTCCTGAAATAAAGCCATAATAAGAAAACAGAGTTTGATCCGGGCTCAGAACGAATGCTAGCGATATGTTTAACACATGCAAGTCTTCTTCTTCTTCGTCGTCGTCTTCACACTCCATTCTACAACTCCATGAATGAATCCATGCTTCTTTCATCAATACATTGGCCAAGGATTGTAGCAACCAAACCTTTGATGGATCTGCCTTACGCCGCTGAAGGAATGAGATTAAGGCACATGCATCGGAGCAGGTAGCTGCGAAAGCCTGCCAACACATACATGGCACCAAGGTCAAAGGCACAACCAATTCAGTTCAGAGTCCAGGCTCTGGTAGTAGAAAAGGGAAGGAAGCACTGTTAACGGAGTGTGACCGCATCGTAAAGGTCAAGACTGTATAGAAATAGAAATGAGTGACATCACACACAGCTGCTTCACGCCAACATTGTTCGTCGATCGTCTTTCTGTTCAGGCAAACTTGTTCTCATTAGATTTCAGAACAGTGCGAGTGCAATCAGACTCACTTTCTTCTTCAATCCGCATGCACGCAAACAGATGGCAAATCCAAACTGGCGCCACGCGCCCACACAACTCAAGTACAAACTTGCTTCAGATTGGCTATGGCCCCTGAGCGCCTACTCTTCAAGTATCAACTCTGTATCAAATCCAAACTGGCGCCACGCGCCCACACAACTCAAGTACAAACTTGCTTCAGATTGGCTATGGCCCCTGAGCGCCTACTCTTCAAGTATCAACTCTGTATCAAATCCAAACTGGCGCCACGCGCCCACACAACTCAAGTACAAACTTGCTTTAGATTGGCTATGGCGCCTGAGCGCCTACTCTTCAAGTATCAACTCTGTATTTACATCAACTGTTCACACACACTCGACTCTGGATCTCCCTGGATATCCGACGCACACACACTCTGTATCACACGCGCGCACACACACTCTCATTACCACATCGCTAGCTATGGCAGCTATGGCCGCCAGCTACCACTAACTACAAGCAGCGATGGCTGCTCTGACTCCACCTCAGCCCACTTCGACTTCGGGCATTTGCAGACCACCTCGCACAAGACGCTAGGACAGCGCTTCCGCATGGCTCACGCAGCAATGAATGAATGGCTGGACGCTGCCTCTTGATTTATACTTCTGTTGGTCGCTGGTCTGCCCCTTTTCCACCGGGCCCGGGGTGCACACAGTCCCACATGGTACCTGCTGACTGGACAAAGTGAGACTGGGACTGGGTACCGCTGACTAAGCAAAGTTGGACTACCCACTTGCCCACTTGCCTCTGGTCTAACGTGAGCAACACTCGAAAGGCCACTTCTGGAAGGTCCTGAAGTCTGTGGACTTGGCCTTTCGGGACTGTAGCAGCTACGACCTTGACCTTTCAGGACTGTAGCAGCTACGACTTAACCTTTCAGAGTTGCAACTACCATGACCCCTACACAGGTACGACCCTACTTCGACAGGCTTACAGTTCAAGACCCGACAGCTACACAGACCTACGACAGCCTACATTCAACTACCAAAACACAGGATGTGGGTTCAAAACACACGGGGTCGACTTAATACTGTACACGGGTGAGGTAAGGTCTAGGGATCAAACTCTGGGATCTGCATCTGTCACTGCAAAGGTGAAAACCGTTTCAGCGAGGGTTTCCTTCAGCACACAAATGAACACTTAACGAAGAAAGAAGACCAAAAAGACGACGAAAGACTAAGGATGAAGCAGAACGGAGATAAGACGAGAGATGACGAAGACTAAGGATCAAGCAGAATGGAGAATAAAGGCGAAAGAAGGACAACACAACATTCAATCAATGCCAACCTCCCTCCTCACATTGGCAATTAAATACACCATGCGGATGCTAGACACAGATACCCCATGGCGCACACCTCCTCCTCCGTCATGTTTTCGTGTGTATTATGTGGCCAGGTGATGCCATATGGGTTGGGTGGCACCACGTGGGGAGGGTCATAGTATGTGGAGCGGGTGGCACCATGTGGCCAGGGTGACACTTGCAGGGTGGGTGGTACTACATGGGGTGGGTCATACTCTTTGGAGTGGGCGGCACTACGTGGGCTGGGTGGTAGTTTGTAGATCAGGTGATACCATGCGGGTAAGGTGGTACTACATGGGACAGGGCATAGTGTGCAGAGTGGATGGTACCATGTGGGCTGACCAGTACAAAATGGGGTACGTGGGTGATGGTATATGGGCTACGTGGCACACACGCCCAAAAAAAACCCACCAAAAAAAAAGCCCAGCCCTTTTGGCCGATCGGTGCACACAAAGTGTTAAGGAGGGGTTGGCGAACAGTCCTCCTATGATTGGACCCCTCCCCACTGTGACGAGTTCAGATATGTGTGGCATCATCATTTTGCTGCATCATCAGGTCTGTCCATGTCTGATCTGAGTCTTCCACTGTGTTATGTTGTATATCTTCCTCATGCAGATGAGCCTTGGATTTTGCACTGTCGATGGTTCACTCCCGGGGCATCCATCAGCCTACTTGCAGGACTTGTATCTGGACCTAACCCTAACTTCATGCAGAGCGGACCATCATGACTCTTACCTGTTAGCCAAACAGACCTCAGGGCCGACCCGAGTTACTGGAATACCCGTGCTGCATCCCCAGGAAATTCTTTTTTTTTTTTTTTTTTTTTTTTTGAAACCTTCGGAACAAAGGGCCGAATCTCAACAGACCGTGACGACGAGGCCACTCTACTGCTTGCAACACCCTGTTCCCTAAAAAATTGAACCATTTCTCGATTTATGCATGCCATCCTTGTGCGAGGATGTGGCTCCTTGGCAGGCCTAAGGGGCCCCTGATGCAAGTGTGCCCGCCCTAAGTGAAGGCGGGCCTAGCAAATCACGAGAGGCCCAATGCTGTTAATTTCGTATTTGGGGTTCAGGCAGTTGTGTCGCGTCCATTGGTTGAGGGAACCCAGGACCCGAGCTGCAAATATTTTCCACGGCCTTCTGGGCCTTTTCTGAAATGCTGGCCCTGGGCAAGAATCGCACCATCATACACAGACAGTTGGGAGGCCCAACCGAACGAGGCCCAGCAGCTGCACCGAAGGCCCAGCCACTTGGGGCCTATCGGAAGCTTCTGTGCAATGACTTGCTGATTTTGACTGCCGAGATTGACTGCGAGGCTGTACAGTAACAGCCGTAGGTTAGATTCGTCATTTTGTTTGGCTGAGGGCTAAACCGAGAGACCTACCTGTAGGGAAAATTCATTAGGGACATATCTGCAAATATGGGAAATCTAGGCCCAGCACTAAGCCGAATTTCCTACAGCTATTCCTACTGCGTATAGCAGACCCGGGCTACCCCTAGGACGGACAGGCCCGAACGGGCCTATACCGATAGACGGTCCGATAGCCTATAGCCGGGTAGGGAGGGGCCGAGAGGCCAAAACTGGAACGGTACCGGTCGGTCCAGTCAGTCTGGTCTAGGTCTAGGCTAGAGTAGTAGAGTTCTATTAATAGATTAGGAAAATCGATTCGGGA